CTATGGCACTTCACTTCTCAATGTCCTTGAAGCTGCTCCCCAGCCTGCCCCCTAGCCTTCCTTTACCCTCCAGATTGCTCTCTTGCTGGGCTAGTATGTGAGTGCAGAGAGTTTGGGCTGTGAGGACTTACCACCTTGCTCACCTGTTGGAGTGCAGATTCCCTGTTGGCACAGAGGAGGGGGCTGGTTTGGACATCCCCTGGTATGAGCCCAGCTAACCACACAGTCAGCTAGTGGATCAGGTCACCAGCAAAAGAGCACTCAAATGTGCTGTCAGGTGTCTGCCAGAGCATCTCCGTACACAGCCTTGTCTGCCACAGGGGAGAAGCTGAAGCATCCTGAGGACCTGGACCTCACCTGTGGGGGTCACACCGGAAACCTGGACTCCTACCTGCATGACACATTCCTTCTTCTCATGCAGGAGATAATCAGCGTGGTTCCGGGCTGATGCCAGACCTGAGCTGATGCTCCTGTATTTCCTGGGCTCTCTCACCCTGAGTCTGTTTGCCTACACCATTCTCCAGTTCACTCAGCTACAGCCCAGCTGCCTCCTCCTCATACTCACATTCCTCTGCCAGGGGATTAACTGAGGCCTGTGTGCCTAGAGGCCTGGACCCTCTGTAGGGTGAGACTCAACTCCCTGGTTTTCCTTTGCTTTGTTTCTCCTCACTTGCATTAGGAAAGGAGCAGCTCTGTGAACTAAATATAGTAGAGCCAGGACTCTGTGACATTAGTTAGTTCTCTCTGTGGAACCTCGCTTTCCTCCTTACAAAGTAGGACGGCTGCCTTTTACCTAGAGCGGAGCGTGTCAGCTCCCTGACCAAGTGCCTGGTGTCCTCACAGCCCGCCTGTGCTTCTCCACCCTCACTGTGGCCCACAGGGTGTCTCCTCACATGCACTGCTAACATGAGTTACCCTCCTACCACTTCCAGCCCTTGGACTCCAGGGGTGTGGCTTCCATTTGGGTAGAACTCTAGAAGGTTCCTGAAGATTATTTTCTTCACTGGACACCACACCCTCCTCCCCAGCCTCTTTGGCCCAGTCCTCGGCAGAGGAATCAGAAAAAATAGAATGGTGAAGTTGGCGGCATTGACTAGCTATTCTGCTTCTGTTTCTTTCTGTTTTTATCAATGTCTGTAGTGTTCTCCCCACCCACACATTTTCCTAGTTATTCCTCACTTATTGAATACAGTATGCCAGCCATTGCTTTGAGTGCAGGAAGCAAAGATGTGAAGGAGACAGACAAACATTTCTGCCATTTTCCTGCCCTGAGCTTTGTCTCCATCCTGCCTAGATGGAAAGTAATGTGAGTAGAGCAGTTAGTGCAGGAAGAGCCACTGGGGTGTCAGAGAACCTTAATGTGCTGGACTGCAGGGATCACAGTTCATTACACTCTGACTCACATAGAGTCACCGTTGTTATTGTTAGGTGCCATCTAATCGAGAAAAACTCGTAGTGACCCTGTGAACAACAGATGTGAACCCTGTCCTGTCCTGTGTCAACCTCATCATCTCCGACCCTTCACATTTCCAAGCATGATGTCCCTTGCCAAAGAATAGCCTCTCCTAGCAGCATGCCCAACGGGAGCTTTGCCATCCTTACTTCCAAGCAGCATTTTGGCTGCACTTTTTCCAAGATGTGTGTATTTTTTGTTTTGTTTTGGTTTGTTTTTGGTTTTTTGGGTTTTGTGTTTGTGAGGTGTTTTGTGGTTTTTTTGGGTTTTTTTTTTTTTTTTGGCAGTCCACAGGTAGCTGGTCCTCTTCTCCAGGAGCACAGCTGGAGTCAAGATGGAGTGAACTAATGACAGCTAGTTTTTGTTTAGTGCAGGAGGAAGAGGGAAGCTCCTCCTCCAGGCTCTTATGGCCTGTGGCCCTCGGCAAATAACTTTAAAAGGCTTTCCTTTACCCTGTGGCTGAAAAAGATCTCTCCTTATGTTTCATCCCTCCTAAAGAGTCTCCTCTTTTGACTTTTTTCACATTTGTTAAATGGAGACCTTACCTGCAGTTAAAGCAATCCCAAACAAAAATTTTACAAGATACCTGTAAAGATGTAAAAAGACAATTTCCTAAAAACACATGGTCACAAAGGTTCTAGAGGTAATGGGAGTTCTGGAAGGCCAGAAAAAGCTGGACAGAAAAGACTATGAGGTCCTGTATGCCCTCCAGCCCACTTCCCTCTCACCAGGCCTTCGTCCTTCCCCAAGGCATCTTCCCTTCTTTCAGGCCCTGCCCTGCTCCTAGCTGCCAGAGCCCCTATGTCTCTCCATCCATACTGCCCACCAGTTAGGCCCAGGGCCTTGGGACCTCAGCAGCCTGCCCTGGAGCGTCACTTTTCAAGGCAGCACGGATTGTGCCCATTGGTGGAGCTGGCAGGAGCTCTGACCATGTAGTCTGTAGCGTGTTGCATTCCTGACTAGAAACCTTTCAGGCATTTTTAATCTACAGGAGAAAAATGAGCTGTCAACTCTGTTTAAGATTCACAGCCTCAGAAACCTGATTTGGGGATCATCATTATGAGATGGAACCAACTCAGAGACAATGAGTTCTTTTTAATTTGGTGGAGCCCAAAGTCAGGTACTAGGAGAAAGTAGAAGGCATTCAAGTCAAGCCGATTGCCTTAGAGTAAAGCTGCTTACAGCCGCGATGAGCGTGGCTCCTTATTTGTGCCTCATCAAGGACACTTAGTGATGGCTGTGACTGTGCAGTCACACAGTGAACAGATTTGCCCTGCCCGTCCCTGAACTCTCACCAGCTAGCTAGTTGCTCCCCGTGGGGTGGCCCACCCTTCATCTCCAGAATGAACAATCACTTGTCTCCTTTCAGCGCCCTTTGGATTCTGTATACTTTTAAAAAAGGAAATGCTGGTGCTCCCCCTAGAGGTAGAGAAAAGGTAGATGAGGATTTCTGAGGGAGAAGCAAATTGTTGAAGGTTATAATGAGATTCTGTGAGGGGTGGGGCAGCGCTGGCTGCCCAGCTCAAGGCTGGTGCCCCATGGCCCAGGCCTTTGAGCTATGGTGCTGGAGAAGAGTATTGGACATACCATGGACCACCAAGATAACTAATAGATGTGTCTTGGAGAGGGTGAAACAAAAGCTGCTCCTTGAAAGCAAGGATTTTGAGGCTCCATCTCACACTTTGGTCATGTTGCCAGAGGGATCAGTCCTTGAAGAAGGATATCATGCTTGGAAAGGTGGAAGGACAGGGTGAGAGAGGAAGACCCTGGATGAGATGGATTGACACAGTAGCTGGGGCAATGAGGGTAGATCTGTGAGAGACAACAAGACTGGCCCAGGACAGAGCAGAGTTCAGAGTACCTAGTGTTGCTTTGAGTTGTGGTCAGCTCAGTGACACATAACAACCACCAACAACCCTTTGACTTTGAAACTTTTCTTCTGGACAACTAGAAATGATGCACATGCAAGGTTCATGCAGCACCATTTGCAATAGCAGAAACTGGAAACAAGTATTCTTCAACAAGGAACTGCTTACATAAATTCTATCCATAACTTGAAGGCAGCTTGGAAAAAAAAGGCAGGTCTACATACACTGACATGACGTCACCTCCTGGATACATTAGCTGCTCAGGATAATACTGTGTGGAAATGCAGTATGGAGGCACATGCGTGGTCGCCTAGTGGCGCTCTGGAGGGACATCCAAGGGAGTGGTGACAGGTGCAAGGTGGAGGTACAATATCTGGTGAGAGGCACTGTCGCTGAGGGTTAGGACAAAACCAAGATTTTCTTTCTCTGCCTGTCATTGTACAACTAGTGAATTTTTTTTGTCTTACTGTGTATTTAAAAACCTAACCGGCCATAAGAATTCTCTTGGCATAGTCTGTCGGGGGTTACACTACTAACCCCAAGGCAAGTCTCCCTCCCTAGTGGAACCAAGTAAGCAGTCTCTTCCTGTGTGATTTACAGCCTCGGAAAACCCACTGGAGGGCCAGCTATGAGTCAGTTCCAACTTGATGACAATGAGTTTGAGGTTTTGAGATTAATAAGGAGCCATGGTGGTGCAGCAGTTAAAGCGCAAAAGGTCAACAATTCAAACCCCCCCAGGTGCTCTGCTGGAGAAAGATGAGGCTTTCTGCTGCTTGTAATGATTTACAGCTGAAATCATGGGTCGCTCTTGTTCCTGCGGGGCTTCTACGAGTTGGCTCCACAGCCTTGGGGTTGAGGTTTTATTATGAGTAATGCAGACATCCTCACAGGAGTTACATGTGTGACATAAAGAGACAGGTGGCCTCGATTCCAGTCTTAACTCCATCACTAGATTTGTGGTCTAAATACCTTACCTCTTTGTGCCTCAGTTTCCTCATATGTTAAAGGAGTTTGAGAAGAAAAGCTAACTCAGAGAGTTGTAAATATAGAATAAGATCCATGTTTTACCCACGTAAAAGCTCTTGTTCCTGTTCCTTAATACATCAGCGTACAGGATATGGCTCATATGCTGCTCTGTGCGGAGGGCTCCATGATTTCGTTCTCACTCCATGCTCTCAAAGGAGCTTCTCCTCCCAACTAGTAGAGAACAGGTGAGGAATACCCACGCTGGTTACGGAAGCCGTTTGCTGGCAGTCCCCCTCTTTCTGTCCTTGGGATGATGTGAGCTTCTTGGGTACCTGCCGCTGCCATCAGCTACCTACCTGATGTGGTTGTTACAGCCTTGAATCAGAAAATCAAATCCAGGAGGAACCTTGGGATTAGTCCACCAGTTTACTCTTGGGTGGCTGGGGACTTGCTCCCCAGAGAGATGTGCATGCCCTCAGAGCTGGGTAAGGGCCCTGCAGGGCCTGGTGGACGCAACACCCTGTGGCATTCTTGAGCTGCTCATGGAGGATACAGTCTGAGCAGGACTCCACAGAGGCCTCAGTCAGTCTCTGTTCCCTTTTGCTGCTTCTAGGAGAGAAGGAATTTGTCATGGGGGATGAAAGGCTCACCCGAGTCCTCAGCCAGCCCCAGCTGTCAGCTCTGGGCCCTAATGTTCTCCTTTCTGCTCTCAGGGGCCAAATGTGATGGAAGAGCAGGACCTGCGGGAGATCGGCATCACCGACCCCCAGCACCGGCGGAAGCTACTCCAGGCCGCCCGGTCCCTGCCCAAGGTGACTCTTGACAGCTGTCTCCTCAGCTTCTGCCAGATCTAAGGCCAGGGAGGGAGCTGACTGGGGTGGAGGTGGGGGACTGAGGGGCAGGGTGTCTACTTACCATCCTAGGAGCCCCCGTGGAGCTGGCCCAGAATGTTCCCTTGTTTTCTCTGCACTGAGTATGAAGGTCCTGGGAAGGTCAGCAAAATGCTAGGGTTACTATGATAGGGGGCAGGAAAGTTCCCACCTACTACCAGACTCTGGTCAGTTAGTGTGGACCCCAAGTGTCTGGCCGCTCATCTCAAGCCTAGTCCCCTCACAGGTAGTCCTGGGAGACCCCAGAGTGGCAGAGAGGAAGCACCATTGTTCCTGGAGAGCCAGAGGCGGGTGCACATGCCCAAGCCTCTCCCTCTCTGTTGTGATGGCAGAGTCCAGTGTCTCTGTCCCTTCCACATGCTCAGAGCTCAAGAAACACAAGTGCCACCGGTGACTCGAGCACTTGCTTCACAGACACACACTGTGTTCTCACTGTTCCCCTACACTAAGACCTTGATCTTGAGAACAAAGGAGTGGGCATTCTGAAAGTGTTCCTCCCACCTTGGTTCCCCCTCCAGCCATGTTCCCCCAGCTGTGGGGCTCCTCAGACGGGGAAACTGAGACCAGAACAGACAAAAGCATATGCAGAGGGGTGGACTCAGGCCACCATGCCCTACAAGACTGCTGTTTGGTCTCTGCTGTCTTCGAGGCCTCTAGTGGCAGTCCCCGTTTCTGTCTAGTCTCCATTGTGCTTTGTGGGGTGGGCCTGGGTCATCGTGAGGTAACTGTCCTTGGATGAGATGCCAGCCCCATCTCCCCACCTCACCCCACAGGTAAAGGCGCTGGGCTATGATGGTAACAGCCCCCCATCCATGCCTTCCTGGCTAGACTCCCTGGGCCTGCAGGACTACATCCATTCTTTCCTGTCAAGTGGCTACAGCTCAATCGATACTGTGAAGAACTTGTGGGAACTCGAGCTTGTCAATGTAAGTGTGGCCTCTTGTGACCCAGCCAGAGACCCAGCTGTGAACTGTCCCTCAGGGTAACTGCCTGGTCCACTGGGTGAGGGCTGGGGGTGCAGAGGGCACTGTGAGCCTGACCAGCTGCCTGACATCACCTGTCTTGCTCCCTCCCCTCCACACTCAGGTCCTAAAGGTCCACCTGCTCGGCCATCGGAAGCGCATCATCGCCTCCCTCGCAGACAGACCCTATGAAGAGCCCCCACAGAAGCCCCCAAGGTTTTCCCAGCTCAAAGTGAGTGGTTGGGGATTAAGAAAAAGGACAGTGTTGTCTGTATTTTGTTCCTTTATAAGTAAGCAGTCAAAAAATATCCTCCTCCTTGTTCATCTCTTGTCCCAGCAGTGGGAATGGATTTCAGTAGATCAGTGGGTTCTCGCACACAGTGGCAGGTGGGACTGAACCCGAAGCTTTTCAGTGAGCAGCTGGGCATGTCACCATTGCACAGCCCTGCCAAAAACTCCAAATCATTGCCAACAAGTCGGAACCAGCTCACCGCTGACCCTCCAGTGGGTTTTCTGAGTCTAAACCACTCGAGGAACTTGCCCATCTTTCTCCCATGGAACCACTGGCCCTATCATGAGCCCTGCCAGATCTTCTACACCAGAATCCTGAGCTTGACTCTCAGATTGGTTGTGTGAGTCAGGGAACCACTAGCTGCAGCAGAACTTGACGCCAGAGCCCACACAGCTGACACCTGCATATTGACATGTGCCGGGCCCAGGGCCCTTAGCCCCTTCAGTTCTCCAATGGTATCAGAAAGTGGGAGTGATTTTACCTCCTTTTTACACGGGAGAAGTCTGAGGCCCAGAAACCAAACATCAGTTGACATTCAAATATGAGTATTTGTCTTCTGGCTTTATGGCAGTGGCAAACTAACAGGCCAAGTATTTTCTTACAGAACAGTTTGGGACTTGTCTGTGGGTGCCAGAAATCTGTATCACAAATTCTGTAGGGTGGTTTTATCTTTGATAAATTTAGAAGTGGTTTTACCAGCCCTCTAACTGCCCTTTGCCTATACAGCTGTGGCCCATGGAGCGCGTTATTAAGCTGCAGGTGCTCGTGGTGGCTGCTCCCTCAGATCTGTGTGGGTAGAGCGAGGCTCCAACAGAATTGGATGGTTTTGATTGTAACCAGGCTGCGCCCCACAGGCTCTCTGCGGCCGTGCCTTCCCCTCAGTCTACACTGCAGCCCAACCCCACCACCCCCGATGCTGCTGCCCGGGCCTGGGCCCATATGACCCAAGTGTTTCCTGGATCTCTCCCCACTACAGTGCCAGGATTTGCTTTCCCAGACGTCGTCCCCCCTGAGCCAGAATGATTCTTGCACTGGCCGGTCAGCGGACCTGCTGCTCCCCCCAGGGGACACAGGCAGGAGACGGCATGACAGCCTCCACGACCCGCTGGTACACTCGCGAGCGGAGCGCTTCAGAATCCAGGTGGGCAGGAGGGGGACTATGGATGTGTATCCATCTCATTCCCAGATCCATCCAGGGACCCTGCTGCTCCCCTTCTCACGCCCACCCCAGCCTCTGTGTCCTCATGCCAGACTCCTTATATTTCTCTTTTTCTTTTCTTTATTTTATTCCAGTTTACTTACAAAGTTCATGTACCTTGTTTTTCATGCCAGATCTTTCCCATTTCCTTCACCCACCCCTCCCTCTACCCATCAAATTGCACAACTCTGTGATTTACCTCCCTCCCCCGCTCACCCATCCTTACCCCTCTGCCCCTACCTTTTCCCCCCAACTGGATCCTCATACTCGTTCTACGGTCATGGTCTTATACAGTATTTGTCCTTACGGAACTGAGTTAGTTCACTTGGCATAATGCTCTATAGTCCCTCACAAGCTAGGTATTGATTTTCAAAATCATTGCTCCTACATGCTGCTTAGTATTCCATCGTGTGAATGTGCCAGAATTTCTCAATCCATTCTGTTGTGGTTGGATATCTGGACTCTTTCCATGTTCTTGCAATGGTGAATAATACTGCTATAAACATTGATGTACAACAAATCTCCATTTGTGTTTCAGTTCTAATTTTCTCTGGGTATATTCCAAACAGTGGAATAGCTGAGTCATATTGAATTTTTGTGTTCAGCTTTTTGAGGAAATGCCAAACTGGCTTCCATAATGGTTGTACCATGTTGCAGTCCCACCAAGTGTATAAGCGTTCCTATCTCTCCGTATCCTCTCCAACATTAATTACTTGCTGTCCTTTTAAACTTTGTCTTTACTACTGGAGTGAGATGGTATCTCATTGTGGTTTTGATTTTAATCTCTCTTATTGCCAGTGATTTTGAGCATTTCTTTATGTATCTGTTTACCATCTGACATCTTCCTCTGTGAGAAGTCTTTCCATAACTTTTGCCCATTTTGTAATTGTGTTGTTGGTCTTTTTTTGTGGATACCCTGTAGGATTCTGTAAACTTTTGATATGAGACCCTGATTTGAAATGGTATTGCCAAATGTTTTTTCCCAGTCTGTAGGTTTTCTTCCTCATATTTCTTGGGAACTTATACATCTCCTGCTGGCTGCTCAGGCCACCCCCGCATCTTCTATCACCTCGACTTGTCAGTCTTCAAAAGTTGAGCTCCACCCTTCTGCAACCACAGGACCCTGCCGAGCTACTCTAGGCCCTTCCTTGCTCGTCCCTTACAGCCCATTTGCTCTCCATCGCTCAGTCCTCTGCTGGCCATCTGTTCTCTCTTACTCTGATTCTTTGCTGGAACTGCCTCCTTTTCTACATCCTTTTGCTCCTCCTGCTAACAAAGCTTCAGCCTGGGTCAGACTCCATTCTTGTTTCTGCAGCCCACTGCTGGCACAACTGGAAAGAATCACACATTCATCTTGACTAGCCCACCGGTTCCAGGGCCTCCAGCCCAGCAAGGCCCTTGTGACTTGCCCTCAGCCCAGGCCTTGGCTCATGGCTGCCATCTCGGTCTGTTAGACACAGTTCGGGCCAGTGTCCTCCATCCTTCTAAAGCAAACTTTAGCTTCAGTCTTGCTTTTTCTCTTGATTTGCATTTCTCATCTCTGCCCTCTGCAATTTCCCTTAGATGCACAGTCATGAATTTTAAACTGTTATCTGTCTAGTAGTTTATTTGCTCTATGTTGAGAAGACCTGTGCTCATTGCTTTTCTCTCCTTTCCATTCCTTCTGCCAGGGTCCTAGTTAAGGACCTCATCATCTCTCACTGGACTACAATTACCTCCTTTGCCCCTTAGCTATTACCAGAAAGGTCCATTTACAATCATTTCTAGACAGGGACAGTTTACTGACTCATGACTTCTCAGCCTCTGAGATTAGATCCACAGTCCCTACTGATGCTTCTTGCGGTCTGGCTCCTGCTGGCTCTACCTTCATTCTTTAATCTTGAGCAATATTCACCAGCTTGCACTTCCCCACGTTGACTCTGCTCTTTCCACTGAGTTCATTTCCCTTTTTCTTTTAAGACCATCGTGCCACTTTTCTCCTGAGCACGCCCTGACAGAGGCTTCCTGTTAGGGAGCTGGTTCCTGCTTCTCTGCTCAGCAGCCTTTGCCCTTTGCTCTGGTGTGGCAGCATCTCTGTTGCGTTTGAATTGTTTGCCTCCCTGACTTCCCAACCATAAACTCCTCTGCAGTGGGCAGTGGGAATCTTACTCTATGTGTCTTGCAGGAGGAACACCAGGAGGCCAAGTTGACCCTCCGTCCCCCCAGCCTGGCCGCACCATATGCCCCTGTGCAAAGTTGGCATCACCAACCAGAGAAACTCATCTTCGAGTCCTGTGGTTATGAAGCCAATGTGAGTTGCCCCCTGCTGTGCTGGCACAATCGGCCTATCTGCTTCCAATCCCTTCCTAGTGCCACTCTGTTCTCTTCAGACTCTCCTGGTAGTGAGAGGGCAAAGGGTGGAGGTCTGTGGATAGGATTAGAGGAAATAGAGGCCTCCCTGTCAGGTCAAGAGAAAGGATTGATACTGGGAGAGGAAGCTTCCTGACTGTGGCTGGCCCTGGTTTATTGTGTGGGAATGCAGGTGTCCTAACTCCACTGCTTACCCCATAGTATCTGGGCTCCATGCTGATCAAAGATCTTCGAGGGACAGAATCCACACAAGATGCCTGTGCCAAGATGCGGGTAGGCTGGCTGTGGTGTGTATGGGTGGGATGGGGTGGGCAGGCTTGATGGCAACACTGAATGAGCACACCAGCTGCAGCCTTCTGTGTGAGGGTGGACGAGGGACAGGGCCTGTGGAGTCCAAGTAGGGCCATAATTTTTTCCTATAGAAATCTACCGAGCACATGAAGAAGATCCCCACCATCGTCTTATCCATCACGTATAAAGGTGTCAAGTTCATCGATGCCTCTAACAAGGTATGTTTCTCACAAGGACTGTTGTGGGCAGTGGGACCCACTTCATGTCAGGGCCGTGGGGCTCCAGGACAAGTGACCCTGGTGCCCTCTCCCCATCCCTTATTTCCACCAGATAAATTTCTTCCCTCAGAATGTTTCTAGGCCCCTTTTCTTACTCTCCATTCCCACCATTTAGCCCAGGTCCTGATCTCTAATCTGTTCATCTCATCTATTTATCTGGATCCCTGCCTTTATCCGCTGTTCCCCCCACCCCTACCCCAAACTTGACTGCTGGTCATCCTCCTTAGTGTTGACCTCGCTGACCTGCACTCAGTCCTTCTATGGTTTGTTGTTGTTGTTGTTGTTGTTGTTGTATGCCGTTGAGTTGGAACCAACTCATAACTGACCCTTCAGCGGGCTTTCAAAAGCTGTAAATGGTCCAGGAGGAGATTGCTCATCTTTCTCTCTCAGAGTAGCTGGTGGATTCGAACCACCTGCTTTTGAGTTGGCAGCTCAGCTCCCTATCCACTAGGCCTTAAGAGCTCCCTCCTTCAATAGAAGAGTTCCCTTAATGGGCAGAGAGCTCACCACATGTAACTTCTGTCACCTGTTCCTGAGATCCTTTCCACTGCCACCTCTTGCCCCTGCCCCTGCCACTCCCTGGAAAGTAGACGTTCCTATAAAGAGCTAGTGAAAGGATGAATCATCTGTTCCCTCAGTTGCAGTGGTCAAGGGTAGAGACCTCGGAAATGCAATGTTAGACAGTCCCTAATTCCATCAAAAAGGAAAAGAAAAGTTGTATTTGGCTTACTGGTCCAAGATGGGACAAAGAAAGGTAGTGTTAGTGAGAGTTGGGTGAGTAGTGTCAGAGGCAGAGGGGCAGGCCTGAGGGGACCACGAGCCAGAGAAATTCCAGAACACTGCTTTCCCTGCAGAATGTCATCGCGGAGCACGAGATCCGGAACATTTCCTGTGCCGCCCAGGACCCAGAGGACCTCTGTACCTTTGCCTACATTACCAAGGACCTGCAGACCAGTCACCACTACTGCCATGTTTTCAGCACAGTGGATGTGGTAGGTGGAGTTCTGGGGCTCAGATGGGCTCTGGATCCCTTCTCTGAGATGAGGAAGTAGCAGAGTCTGCAAGCCTGGAGAGTGTCTGTCCTGATGAGGCGCCGAGTGGGCCCTGCAGCCGAGATGGCAGGACATAGCTGACCTGGCACCTAGTCCACACTTAGTAGTGAAACCTTTGTAGTCATCACGCCAGGTCCCCTTCCTGCAATGACAGGACTAAAACATAAAGGGAAGGAAGTAGCTTGTCTAGGAGTTTGTGACAGAAGTTTTTCCAGCTCCTTACTGAATATTTCCTGAGTCTAGTAAGGCCTCAATCCCTCAACTCCCTGTGATTCTAGTTCCCAGACCTTCACCTGGGCTGCCATCATCTGATCTCACCCCATCCCATCCACATTAAGTCAAACCGTCCTGCAGGTTTTCCTGGGCTGTAAATCACACAAGAAGACATTATCCAATGTACTTTTAGCTGTTGGATTGGCAGTACACTTCCGTACACACTACACCACCAGAGCTGAGATGGTTGGTTGCTCCTGTTCCTGGTAGATGCCATTACGTCGACTGCAAGTCACAGCAACCCTGTGAGCAGATCTGAACTTGCCCAATCCTGCAGCATCCCCACGACCTGTCCTGCTCAGCCCACTGTAGAAGGCACTGTGTCAATCCATTTGGTTTTATTAGAGTTTTCTTCTCTTTTGTTGAACCTCTATTTTTCCAGCCTGGTGTCTCTCTCCAAAGACATAATTTCCTCCTGAAAATATGCCCAAAGTAGGTGAGACAAAGTTTCACCTTCCTTGCCTCTCAGGAGCACTCTGGTTGTACTTCCTTCACAGCAGATTTGTTCTTTTGGCAGCTCTCGGTATATTCAGTACTCTTCACCTCCACAATTCAAAGGCATCAATTTTTCTTCTGTCATCCTTAGTCATTGTTCAACTTTCAGATACATAGGAAGCAACTGACGCTACCATGGCTTGGACCAGATGCACCTTAGTCTTTAAACTGACATCCTTGCTCTTTAGAACTTTAGAGAGAGAGAGATCCTTGGCAGCAGCTTTCCCAGTGCAACATGTCTTTTGGTTTCTGCATGGCTAGTATCAGGGATTATGGATCCAAGTAAAATGAAATCATTGACAACTGCACTCTTTTTAAATCTATTATGATGTTGCCTTTTTTCCCAGTGGTGAAGATTTCTGTCTTCTTGATGTTGAGATGTAGCAAGCACCTCAAGTCTTCCTCTTTTTCAACAAGCAAGGTTATGTCATCTGTATAACTCAGGTTCTTGAAGAGTCTTCCTCTGATCCTGATGCCACATTCTTCATCATAAAGTCTAGCTTCTCGAGTAATTTGCTCAGCATACAGATTGAACAGATGTGGAGAAAGGATACAGCTTTGATACACTCCTTTTCTAATTTTAAACCAGCTGGGTAGTTCCTAAAATGGCTTAGCTTTTCTCCTGGGAGTAACCATGATCTCCTTGGCAGTTTATTTTCTTCTCTCAGATTATTGCTCAGGCTGCACTCCGGGTGCCGCAGGCCATGGGAGCTTCCCTTTGCATACATTGCCCACAGGAGGGGACATGGGCTCCGTGCTGCCCTGAGGTCTGGCCTTTGGGCGCCACTAGAGCACCTTACTTACATCAAACTACCATGTTCCATGTCTGGTTAATTCTGCTGTAACACAACATATGTCTTAAAAATCAATATGCTGTGAAAAATCACACAGTAAATACCCTAGGGTATGAAGAAATGGAACAACACAGTACTCAAGATACTTATTTTTTTTTGTCAGTGATGTATTTTTTAAAAATATAGAAATCTTTTTTTTAAAAAGCCCCCCAAAAAAGTAACAGTACAATTTTACGGAGCCCTGGTGGCCTACTGGCAAGAAGCTGTGCTGCAGTCCTGAAGGCACGTGGTTCAAGGCCAGCAGCTGCTCTGCAGGAGCAGGATGGGCAGTCTCCTCTGCTGTGATTAACTGCCTCTGAAAACCCGCCGGACGGTCAGCTATGGGTCGGTTCCAACTCTGCAGTGCACAACAGCAACAACAGTGCCACTTTGTTCACATTGAAATGGTAAAGAAATACCAAACTACAATACTAAATGGCACTTTACCTAGAAAAGGTCTGAGGTTTGCTTGTAAACATGTGCATCTGTGTGCCTGCCATGACCACTAGCTGTGTGCACAAGGGAGAGAGAGGGGCAGACACAAAATAAGACTTTACAGGAAAGAAGGAGAGGTCAGAGGGAGGGAGGCCATCATGAAGGGGTGGCGGGAGGGCGCTGAGGTCCCACAGATCTGATCTAGATGTGCTGCTGACGTGTAACATGTGTCCTCTGGGGTGAGCCCTGTGTGTGTCCCCAGGGGTTCAGCACTGTGGTGTTGGAATCCCCCTCCTGTGGCTCAGATTGAGCATGAGGGAGCAGAAGCTGAGTGTCAGGCTTGCATTGCCCCTAGTGAATCGATTGTGTTGGAACAGACCTGAACTTTCAGTACACGTGTTCCAGCAGTGGACTGCACTCAGGCCTGTTACCTGTCCGCGTGCTGCCTGTGCCTGTGCAGGGTGCAAGGGAAGTGGGGGTTAGAAGGGGCACATCTGCTCCTACAGCCCATCTGCTAGCTCTGTGCTCTGCTTCCTCCCAGAACCTGACGTACGAGATCATCCTGACACTGGGTCAGGCATTCGAGGTGGCCTATCAGCTGGCCTTGCAGGCCCAGAAGTCCAGGCCGATGGGAGCCACCGCCACTGATATGATTGAAACGAAATCTTCAAAACCGGTGCCTAAGCCTCGAGCTGGCATGAGGAAGTCAGCAGTACGTGAGCCGCCACCCTACACCCCCGGGGGACTTGAGGGCTTCAGGGCTTGGGATGGACACAGCACAGATCTTCTCATTGCAGATAGCTGGCTCCTCGGGAACAGCCTTGTAATTAGTGACCCCACTGAGACCCTCACCATGGGAGGCACCAGCCCCTCAAACATGCAGTGGGCAGCTGTCCACCTCTGTTTTCCCCACTCCATTCCCTTGCTGGGCTCCATCCAAGACCAGGCTGTCATGGGGCTGCAGAGAGTACCCCCAGGCCAGCCCCTGTAACGTCGTCCCTGTGTCTGTGTCTGCTTTGCTCTGCACCCCAGGTGCCGCTGCCCCCCGATAGTCGCTGTTGTTACTGTCACACCTGCACCACCCATCGTCCTTCTTACCTACCGCTGCCGTCTGTTAGTTCTGGAGTCAAGGTCTTTACACCTCCTGCTGTGTGTGTGTCCGTCTCCCTGAAGTGACCGTGAGCTCTCTGTGACTCTCTCTCTGCTGTGCTGCCCTGTGTGGCATTCTCTTCCTGTCCCCCAAGACGCCCTGCCCATCTGTCTGTGCTTCCGCCCTCTGTTTCTCTGCTGTGTCCTCACCAGAGGTCTGGGGTGATTGCTGTGGGCTTACAACAGGGGAATCTCTTGAGCACTCACAGACCCCTCCTCCTGGTCCTTCAGGTTTGGAGCTTAAAGCAGGGTGCCCCGGTAGAGCAGCGGCTCTTCTAATAGAGCAGTTTTTAGAAATTGCCCCTGATGAGGCCCTGAAGCGGGGCCCTCCCGTGGTTCCAGAGAGGAAGACACCCTTCCTTTAGCCAGTGGCTTCCTGGCTGAGGAGAACAAGGGCTGCCAGCTGTTGGCTGTCAGCGCCAGCGAGGCCTGGACAGGGTGGGGCATGCTGGACTCTGTGCGCCTCCCAGGCCTGGCACAAAGCGTCCTCACTCTGCCCTTCTTCCTTGTTTGGCAGCTGGAACCACCTGATGCGGACCAAGATGCCCAGTCTCACGCCAGTGTCTCCTGGGTGGTGGACCCAAAACCAGACTCTAAGCGGAGCCTCAGCACCAAGTATGAGACCACTATCTTCTAAAACAGCCCACTCCCTGTCTCCACTAGTCTCACTGTGCCTTTGCCCTCCGGTCTTTCTGCTCTTCTCCACTCTCTCCTTTCAGCTGCTGACGCCAAGGTCCCACCCTCACCAGGTCTGCTCTCCTCCTGGGCAGCAGCCCTAGACACTGTACGCTACCAACGCTGTACCAACCCCACCGAGCACTGTGAATTCTCCTCCTCGAGCTGAGGACAGCTTGAGGGGGTGAGTTGCCTTCGAGGTGTGGGCACCAGGAGGGCTGAAGGGCTCCACTGTGCCCAGGAGGCCTCTGCGGGCCAGCACTGTGAATCCTGAGGGGGCAGGGCAGCTTTTGAGCAGAATCCAAGTCGCACCGAGAATGATCCCCGCCAGGCCGGGCCGGGCTCTCGGCTCTCCTCCTCCTGTGCTTCTCCACTGGTCCATAGCTGGGTGCAGCTGCCAAGCGCTGTTTTCACTTTTCCTGACAAAACCAACCACTGTGACCACCCAGTGCCAGAACCCCCACCCCGCTCCCAGCGGCTGTAGCCCCACCCCTCTCCTCCGCTCTAAGGTGCTGGCCTCCCTTCATGGTTAGGTCCATGAGTCCTGGGGCCCAGTGATGTGGCTGGCCAGACTGCTTGCTGTGAGGGTCCAGGGAGGTGTCAGGCCTCCAAAGAAGGGGCTCTGAGCATCTCAACATCAAAGGCAGCTGAGCTTGAGTCACTCACTCCAGGAAAATGGGCTAACGTGTCTGCTCCCTCATGTATCTACCATTGAGTCACATGGTTTGGCAGGCCTGGGGCCCAGCTCTGGAGTGTGAAGCCTGTGTCATGACTCATGCAGGTTGTGTACCCCTGTACAAGGTGTACCTCCTTCCCTCACAGAGCGAGGCACTATAGGTCAGGGGCCTGGGCTCAGCAGCTTCCATTGTCCTCCCAGCCCTCCTGACCCTTCTCCATGGTGTGGGGTCAAATGTAGGCAGCCATCCTGGTCGTTGCCCTGGTCATCTTCCCTTTGCCTCCCCTGACCTTGGAGAGGAGAGGCTGCTGCTCCAGAGCAGCTCATGGAGTCGAGTCTGAAGAAACCTCGCATTCTCCAGTGTGGGCGGGCGGGTCAGCAGAGCTGACAAGGGACAGGCAAGAGCAATTCTAGTAGGAAGCAGTGCAGATGTGGCCGAGTCCAGTTGAAAAGCCAGTAAGCAATTACTTCAGAGTTCAAACCCGAGTTGGTGCACCAGGGTGAGTCTCCTGCCTGTCTGTGCATCCACGTGCCTTCAGAGGGACATCCCGAGCCTGAAGCAGTATCAGCATAGCCTGGGCGCTCGGGCCAGACCACACAGGACACTCGGGAGGCGGTGAGGGACTTTCTGTCTCGCTGTGTATCTTCTTTTAGATTCCTCTCCTCCACCTTGTGAAGGCCCCTTTGGTTAACCCTTTCCTCCCCCGTTGTGTTTGCCTCTGCCAAGCTGAGCCACTGAGGAACCACACTGTGCCACGGAAACCTAGCTGTAGGGGCACAGGCTCCACCGCCGCCACCACCACCGTCTCCCTGCAGCTTTGAAGACCCAGGCCCATGCTCCGCCTGCAGCATCTCCTCAGCCGCGGGCCTGTGCCTGTGCCACCAGGTGTAGCAGACGAGATGACCTCCAGAGAGCCAAGAAGCAACTTGTCCAGGACACAGTTTTTTAAATAGAAAAAAAACAAAAAAAAGTATATTAAAAAAAAATTTAACAACCCACCAACAATGAACTTTTAACACTTGGTTCAAACCTCTAGGTCAAACTGCCAGTCTTTAGACAAAAGATCCTAAGGTCAGTCAGAGGACCGGGAAATGAGATTGGCTCCGAGGACAGTCTGCCCAGCCCACTGTCCTCAGGGTGGGCTCTCGTGAGGTCTGGTAGGTCTGAGGAGAGGGTCGAGGTCTATGGGTGAGTTGGAAAGAACAGGCTCAAGGGACAAAACTAAGGAGATTTGTTAGTCTGCTTTTCAATCCCCACCAACCTAGATGTCATCTTTACAAACTGAGCAGCCTCTTGTCCCATAAATAGCAGGACACGACCTCTTCAGTATGAACCCAGCCTGAGAGGGGCCTCGGCACAAGCCAAGGCTCCAGTCCAGGTCTGCGTTCTGACGTGACGGCCTGGTGGCCAGGTGGAGAAGGGTACGGCATGGTTTGTAGCCAGAGTCTGGGGCTCTCTGGGCCTCCCCAGTTGCCTGACCTCCTCTAATCACTCACCCAGTGGGCTGGCCACAAGCTCTATGTTGGCATCACACTGCCTGTGTTGTCAGAGAACAAGCAGCTTTGTTTGGGGCATTAATGGGTCAGCTATGAGTGCTGCTTGCCAGCTCATGATTTGTCTGATTAGGCCTATGTGATTAGGGTTTCTTTTGATTCTCTGAATTACTGGTCTGATGGTTCTCAGCTGCGGGGCTGAAATACACATGTTCATCCCTGGTTTTAGTGGTCAAAAAGGCTGAATAAGGTGACAGTCGATTTGACTCTTCCCTGATGTGGCCTTCAGGGCAGGCTGGCATTTGGGTACTCTGTTGCTGCTGCTTCAACTTTCCTGCTGGCTTGCTTTCTTTCTCATTCTAGTTGTATTCTTCCACCTGGTGTCAGTTCTGTGGTCTGAGTGTCAGAGCCGAGTAACTGCAGGGCTGCAGAGAGGAGCAGGCAGCTCTTCCTGTAGGTACTTGAGCAGACCTCACACTATATTGGCGCCGTTCATCGGTCCCAGGGTGTATCTTTCACGTCTCGGCTGCACTTCTCTTTTCCAGCAAAAATGATGAAACTCCATGTTGGTGTGTGTGCAGGGAAGCTGCTCTTGGGGCAGAAATGGGAAGCAGGCTGGTCTCTGCTGGCTGAGGCCAGGCCCTTGGCTTCTGGCACAGCTGAGTAGGTCATCCTGCACTTCATGGTACTAAATCGTGGCCTTGAGACCTTCAAGTGTAACTTCACATTCTGCTCCTTTCAGGACCTGAGGATTCCCATTAGCTACTGGTCCAGCCCTTGCTTTGCTCCAAGAGTTGACATCTAAGGTTCTTTGTTCTACTTGTGCTTCAGGGTAGACACCGATGCCCTTTTTCCCTCCCAGAGGAGGACGCTTCTTGTCTGAGGAGCCTTTGTTGTAAGTGGTAGGTCCCAAAAGGAAGCTCTGTATAGACACTACAATGAGTCAAAGCTGGTTTTTGTTGTTCAATCATAGGTATGCTTTTTCTCCCCTTGAAGCTGCTATATCTTTATTTATTCAGGGTATTTTCATATTGGAAAACCTTGGTGAGTCTGCTCTGGCTTTGGGTTTGTTTGGTTTATTTCTGAGCTTTGAAGAAAGGAAGTAACTGGACTTTGTTCTGTAGTCCTGTCCCAGGGCAGGTACTTCCCCCTCTGGGCACCACCAATGTAGCATAAGGATAAGTTGCACATGCAAAAACCCTTTGACACCTTGAACACCTCTGTCCGTGCAGGTGAGGCCCTGTGGCAGACACTGTTGCTGTTTCTGAACTGTGAAGGAGCCCACTTAGGTGGGAAGTTTAAAACGGGTCAGTTACCTGCCCGCTGCAGGATCCTCGCTGGCCTGTTCCTTTCTCTTCTGCTTGCCTGCTGCTCTGAGCAGCGGGGTTCTCCTCTGACCGGCTCTGCATCTGCAATAGTTTGCATCCCTCTTGGGCCTCTTGCATCATATTCTAGTTCTGTGAGAAGCCGTGGGTCTGAGCAAGCGGGATTCTCCTCTGACCGGCTCTGCATCTGCAATAGTTTGCATCCCTCTTGGGCCTCTTGCATCATATTCTAGTTCTGTGAGAAGCCGTGGGTCTGAGCAGGCCGCATCATCACTGCAGTCAGCAAGAGTTTAGAAAGCAAGTCTGCTCTCAGCCCCTCTTCCAGCCCCTCAAGATGCCCTGGCCAGCAGAATGGCTGTCAGACATAGATCACAAGAATGTTGTTGCTGACGGTCTGGCAGTGGGACTGAATTGTAATAAAAATGTTATTTAATCTTTGTCTCTGTATTTTGATACTTGAATGACTTCCCCTTTTATTTTACTGTACATATAATTGTTAATCGGTCCAATTTTGTCTGGATTATAAACATCTTGTGGTACCAAACATAACCAATCTGTGCAACAACATAGACTGACCTCACTACACAAGAGAGAGTGTAAATATTCCTGGGCTTCCAGCTTTGGTTTTGTTATTTTCATAACTGTACAACTTAGACAGACTGAATTAATAAATGAAAGCGACATGAAACCAACCTTCTTTCTTGGCATCTTTGTTGAGTTGAAGTCTTTTGGGATTGTTTTCTGGCAGAAGTGTGGGCTTTAGGTGGAAATGATGGGATGGCATGGTTAGGATTTCTGCCATCTAGAACTCTCTTGCGAGACCTCTGGTAGCTCAGTGGTAAGGAGGCTGACAACCCAGAGGCATGCAGTTTGAAGCCACGAGCTGCTCTGTGGAAGACAGATGGGCAGTCTCCTCCAATGTTCTTTACTGCCCCAGAAAACCCACCGAAGGTTCTGACTCCGTGGGACACACAACAGAACTCTTGTTCTTAGGAGCATCTTGTTCTAAATACCAAACGGGCCACATTCTAATTACTGGCACAGGGCCATCAATATCACCTCTGCATCCTGAGCCACTCCACAAACACCTTGTGCCCTCTGTGCACAAGGCAGCATGTGGCCCTCGAGCTGAAGAACACTTTCTTCCATAAAGAACTTAGTTTGTTGTGGAAGCTTCAGACTAACACAGGTAGGTCCCTCTATGAAGCCATCAGTCAAAGGTCAGTAGATGGTCAGAGGGCAGACATCCCAGGAAGCCGGGTGGCTAGGAGAAAGGAAGTGCGGATGGTAACTGTCCCGTCATTCCTTAAGCACCTGCTCGTGTACTCTAAACCTTGCTATAAATGTTACATATAACCATCTCATCAAGCCTCTGTCTTAGTTATCTCTCTTAGTTATCTGCAGTACAGTCAGAACCAACTCAGCTCACCCTACAGTGGGTTTTCAGAGGCTATAGATCACACAGGATGAGACTGCCCATCTTTCTCCCTCGAACCAGCTGGTGGATTCAAAACCCCTGCTTTAGGGTTGGTAGCACAACTCATTACCCACTAGGTTACTAGAGCTCTCTTGGTGCTGCTTTAACAGAGAAAGCACAAGTGAGCGGCTTTAAGAAGTACTCTTACCATTTAGAAGGTCAGATATCCAAGTTGAGGATGTCACCTCTCGGGGAAGGCCCACTGTGTCAGGCGTGGAGGGAAGTTCTCGTTTACTTTAGCCTCTCAGACCTTCCTCAATCTCAAGGCACTTTCTTGAGCATAGACTCAAGTCTAGAGTACCCCCAGCTCAGTTTGCTTTCCTCCTCTTTTTATCTCAGTAAGGTAGAAGTTCCTACAAACCACACCCTAGGGGAACACCCCTTACATCAGATTAGAGCTGGGTTGAGATGGAGGGGTTTCATATTCCACCCTAATCTCCCCCCCCATCTACTTAGGTATTTTTGTTTATTACTATCACATTGTCTTACTCTGTTAATTTTACATGACTTTGTCTTTATATAAATTTTAATAAACCAGTGAACTCAAAACATTTATTCTTCCTGCAGCTGATTTATTGAAGAAGCAGCTTCTCTTCATAAAGATGAAGATCTTGCCTTGCACTTGCCCTACTGAATATATCATATGAGAATATAGGACAAGAAGTGGTTTTAAAGCAATACTTTTTAAAATTTTTTTAATTTTTTTTTTATTTTATTGGGGAAAACATATTGGGAGTACAGGGAGGCGAGGGTTGGGGGCAGAAGGGTGAGGATGGGCAGGGATGTAGTTGCAGAGCTGCAGAAATTGGTTGGTGGGGGGAGCAGGTGAAGGAAATGAAAAGGATCCAGTGGGGACCACATGCTACAGGGGAATGATAAGCATTTTCCAATGGTATTTAAACCAACTGTCTTATTCATTTGGAAACTGGATGCAGACTCTCTGGCTTCTTCATGCTGAACAGGAGTGTTGATGTGAAGGGGGAAAGGGAGGACACTTGATTGGTAATCTTGGGTTAAGGCTGCTTGCCTTCTTGTTCTGTTAGAAGATATTTTCCTGTCATTTGCTCCCCTCTGGACTGCAAAGTGTTTTCCCAGGGGGTCCAGTGGGGATGGCTGGTTGAACCCAGAGGCTCCATCCTCCTTTGCTTCTTTAGCTGGCAGTTGTATTTCTTTTTTGTCACTGGCACTGGGTTTGGGGTCAGGTCTGAAGTAAAACTCAGTGTTAAGGTTACCTATAGGAAAGGGAGCAAACCTGAGAATTGTGAACAGGCTCCCCACAGGTCTAAACAGCTTCTGGCAGAAGCATTCAACAGATCAAAATATGTGGTGCATTTAGGATGTTGGTCCTCTTGGACATGCTGTCACTTTTAAGTGTCATCAAGCAGACAACTCACAGTGACTTTCAACAATCCATTGTATTGGTGATCATCTTCTCTGGCCTGTCCAAGGAAACCCAAACCTGCAGGCGGCGGGGTGCACATCCCCGTGCAGGCTGCCAGTGGGTGCGCACCATCTCCCGCATGTCATCTCCTGTGCGGGTGGCCCGGGGGCACACATCATCTTGAGTGCCACCCCACACACACACGCGT